GAAGAAAAAGAATGTAAGACAGCCATTTAGACAGAAAAGAAAAATGTCAATTACAGAAACCAAGGCAAGGAGGATGACCACAATATTGTACTAAGTGAATCTGGGATGCACACTTTCAAAATGATTCTAACATATGTTACAGTAGTCTGCTCAACACATATATTCTGTTCAGCAGTATTTGTATCAATGAACACAGAAACATCTTACTCCTCTGTGGCCTTCCTACTTCCTTCGCAGATGTCATAGATATTTGCTACTTTTGTTTGCAGTGTTTTGTATTGCACTTCCTTTGCTACTTTCACAGACCTCAGGGAAGAACAGGTGTCTTCTTTTTTTCTGGAAAGGATGAAACAGTTTTCACATGGCTGCACATGGACCCAAGAACTTGCATAGAGTGAGAAGAGGCCAAGATTCCTAGCCCGGGAAGCCACTTTTTATCTTCCCAGCATATATTCCTTTCCACGATATGGAGATTTCTTACCCCCAAAAACCTACCTCTCAGGTTTTGTATAGTGAACCTCATGGCTCTTATCTTTGAATCTTTGAATCCTTGGTCATTTATGTTGCCTGACTGTAATATAGATTCAACAAAAGACATCTAAGAATAAATGATTATATAACAATGTGAATATACTTATCACTAGTAAAATATACACTGAAAACTCATTAGAAATTAATTTCTGTTACCATAGAATTTATAGTTAATTGTGTTGTAGTAGCACAATTAAAAGTAAAATAAACCATTTAAAAGGAAGTAAGAACTTTCTGGTCTCTGATTTAAGTAATGGATGGGAGTGACTTTCTGCCACCTGCTCCATCTTGACATTTGGCAGGACTTTCTCCTTCAGTGACTGCTGCTCTTCACACTTCACTCTCCCTTCTCTGCTCCTAGCTCATTAAGGGCAATTGGGCACAATATAAAACTACTCACAAAAACAGAATTACAAAAAACACATGCTTCTTAGGCCCTTAATATAAAGTGATTGTGTTGTTATCCACAATTTCAGAACATTTTCAGGAAAAGTATCAGCCCAGCAGACTCACACTTTCACTGAATGCAGGACATTTCACTGTATGCAGGACAAGAGAAAATGCAGTTCTCAGCTCACCTACTGGCCCAAACACCTCAGAAACCAAGATAGAATAAAAAGGAGCAGCCAAACTCTTACCAAGCCTTGAGTCTTGACATTTCCATCCTTCTCAGTATCTAGCCAAGATAGTGTACCCTGCATGATGTTGTTCACAGCTTTCATAGTTCCATCAACAGTTTTGATATTATCCTTCAACAAAGCATAGTAAATCAGGAGCAATTTATTGATACCATTACTACTTCTTTTTTTTATATAATATATTTTGAGCAAATAAATAAATAAAATAGGACCAGCAGTCAGTGTAGTGGATATGTCACTGGACTTCCACTTGGCCAACTGCAGTGTGAGTGCCAGACCCAAGGTCTTGAAAATCATGCTGGATGCATATGTATGCCATGTCCAAGATCCCAGGAGGAATAGGGAGAAGAGATCATGGTAAGGCTATCCCCTTTGGGGGTGACTTCTCACTTTCCCTCTCAGTGTCTCCATCTCTGTCCCTGTCTCTGTCTCTGAGAGTGCACATGCCTTAAAGGCAAAGATATCTTAAATAAATAAATACAAAATGAAATGAAACAAAATGTGCATGGGGGACAGAGAAATTTACCTTAAGTTTACGTGCCTCATCACTGAGATGTTTAGTTTCTTGAAGACATCTCTTTAATTTATTAACCTATACAAGTATATAATAAAATAATTAAAATTCAGAAATATTAATTTAAGTGCCTACAAATCCTATCTTCAAGTGTGTATAAAGAAGTACTTTAGATATGTGAAGCTTGCTATGAAAGTGTACAGTATATAGAACATGGAAAATGGGACACCAGCAAAATGAAGAGGTAACAAAATAACTGAACTACAAGAGGTGACAAAAATTGAAAGTAAAACCATTACAAAGCAGAAATTAGAAAGACAATCATACCTTCTGTTCCCAAACAGTTATTTTTTCAGCAAGTTCTGTGTTTTCTTTCTTGAAATTGTCAATCTTTTCAGATATTTGTTGCAAATTAACTAAAAGTAGAGAGAAATATCTTTAAGATTATTATGAAAACTGAATAAAATCAAATTGACTGAAGGTATTTATTTTTGGAACCAAACATTCTCTGCTACAATGAGCATAATTAACTTGTAAGTTGTACTAAAGAGAAGAAAGTTAGTGGCATTTTCAGTGTAAGAAAACAAATATAAATAAAGGGATCTTATTTCCTTCTGTAGAGTGTTTAATTGCCTATTTAAAATTATTTCTAAGATGAGGTAATCAGTCTTTACCTCGTTACTCTCCCATAAATAGGAAAAGGCACCATTCTTAGAAAACATGAACACTTTCTATTTATTTTTTCTTTCTTTCTTTCTTTTTCTTTCTTTCTTTCTTTCTTTCTTTCTTTCTTTCTTTCTTTCTTTCTTTCTTTCTTTCTTTCTTTCTTTTTTTCTTTCTTTCTTTCTTTCTCTTTCTTTCCCCCCTCTCTCTCTCTCTTTTTCTTTCTTTCTACAAGGCTCATGCACTCACCAGAGACAGACAGAGAGAGGAAGGAAAACTGAGAAATCATCCCTCCAGAGTGAAAGGCCATGCTGCAATCCCTTCTCTTAAATTCTCCTCTTGGGATGTAGGGCATGCACACACACTCACCGGACAGTTTTTTTTTCTTTCTTTCTTTTAATGTTCTTGTATTAGAGCATGTGTGCCCTCAGAAAAGGAGAGAGACAGAGAGAGAGAGTGACAAATCATCCCCCACAGGGCATGGCCATGCTGGAATTCCCTCTCTTCCACTTTTCTCCTGGAATTCTGGACATACTTATAAAGCTGCCAGCTCTGGGACTCAAACCACAGTCAGCCATGTGGGAGTCATATGCTTCAACCACCATGACACCAGATGACTCCATTTGTGCAATTTTTCCTTATCGTATTTTGTTTTGTTTTGTTTTGTTTTGCCATCAGGTGTGTGCACTTGCCAGAGAGGAGACAATGAGGAAGAAAGTGAGAAATCACCCACCCTACCCCTAAGGGATGACCATGCCACAATCCTTCTCCTCCTAAGATTTTGGACACACACACATGTGCTCAGTGTGATTTTCAAGCTCCCAGGTCTGAAACTCAATCTGCGGTTGTCCATGTGTGAGTCCAGCGTCTTAACCACCACACCACCAGATGGTCCACATTTGAGCACTTTGAAGAGTTGTATCATTACCAGAGAAGAATCAGAGACATCTAGCACCCTATCTACTTAAATTTGCCCTTCAGTTAACAAAGTAAATAAACAGGTCCTTACAAAGAAATGCCTCATTTCACACAGGTTTTCCTCACCTTCCTGCAACTCTCTGAAATTCCTTAGGCGGAACAAAGTACAAACTTATTGTTATTCTAAGAACTCCAATGTCTTTCCTATTCCCAATTGATCATCTCTCAGGATAAGCAGGATCAGGGACTCCAGAGACATGATGTATGAAATAAAACACACTTAGGTACAGTCTTCTTTTATCACTTCTTTTTATCACTCAAGGATAAAACTGGTCTCCAGGTCTAGTGGTTAAAAGAACCTGATCCCCCATGGCCCATTGCTTTCTGCATCCTACTGCTAATGACTTAAAACACAACTGGTG